TTTTTTGTTATATTAAATTTCATGCTATCCATGTCTCTCAAGTGGAATTTGTATCAAAAAGAGAAAAACCGATCCATATCAATTTCTTTCTTCCATTAAAACCCAATTTCGCTTAGTCGATGGTAAAAAGAGCCTTAAAACATTGATGTAAATAGTCTCTCATCCGAATTTATCGAAGCATAAAATATAGAAATATCGCATCGTTCCAAAACCGGAAATATACAGTGGAAATTTCAACAAATTGTTTTGACAATCTATAATGTCGCATCAATCGGTTTATTATTTGAGTGTGAAAAAAATATATGACCGCTTGAGGATATTGATAAATCCAGAGAGAACGTGTGACAATGAATTTTATTTGTCATATATGAATTTCATATTGTTCAATTCAGTCAATAAACTGGTGACTGTGAGTTTATATCGATATTTTTCTGTCGCATTTTTTCGTCGTAAAAGCAACATTTTATATTGATAAAATTCCATGTGGAAAATAATGGGCAAACAGCCCAATGGCAAAATCGATTTTTGTGTCGAGTATTTGTGATTCGGTTTGATGATTGTTTGAATGTTGCTTGTTCGTATTTATATGCTTTTGTGGTTACACATTTTACACCATCATCGTTAACACCGTTTGTGGATCTTTTTTTTTTAATGCACTGCCTGAACAACAGAAGAAAAAAAATAATGTCGAGATAAATCTGTTAAATCAGCATCTTTATGGAACCAATTATATTGTCTCAAACGAAGTAAAAGAAGTTTGACTTGGAAACGTCTATTCACAGACAGTTGAAATTAATGGGTGTCGATTGTCTGTGTTATAACACCGAAATTGATCAGCTTTTTTTGAAATGAAAGTAATTTTCGAATTTATTGGCCTCATTGATTGTCGATAGATTTGCCATATGGGGCCGGGCAGATAAACACAAAACATCTCGACACACATTTCAATGGGTACAATAAATTGAAATTGGTGATAAATTTGTCCGTCGATTGTTGGTGAAAATTGGATTATTTATTGAACGATTAAAGTAATTGAAACTGTCCATTAAATAGATAACTGCTTGTTCAACGGGAAAACTCTTTTATCGCCGTTGATTTTGAACATTATTTCTTTGCTATGTTGCATAATTTGATATTCATAAATGTTTTTTTTCTTCTTTGGATCAAAACTTTCCACTGATGATCATTAACAGTCATGCTATTATTACGTTCCACTTAAAAACTTTTTACAAAGCTATTTGCAATAAAAAAAATCGCGTCGAAAGCATTTAATCGCATAACAATCCGCACACAAAATATGGCATAGCTTTGGAACTCAGACCATTGGACGCACATTTATCACGCTTGCGAAAAACAATTTGACACAACAATCAAATGAATTTAAAGTCTGTAAGTGCAAAACTCCAGCAAAAGTTTTCCAACTGAGCAAAAAAACCGGCTCGAATAAAAGAAGAAAAGGCAGAGGGGAAGAGAGCTTGTTATTGACAAGTCAGCGAATTTTCGAGAAGAATCTGCCCAAAGATTGAATGAATGCAGAGTAATTATGACAACATCAAAAGAGAATAAACACGCAACACAACAATTTCTTATTACAGTTTGCAATATGATATTCTGAGCGCGAATCTCATTCGATTGCATTTTTGTTTTCCAATGTTGTTGAAGCGAAACCCAATGACATTGGCCTGTTAAATTTTAATTGAATTCTATTTTTTGCTCATATTTTCGGTCATAGAAAATGGCCTTTTCTCCACTTGTAAGCAATAAGTTGTTGGTGAACGAAGTCAACACCATAATCTCGTGTCAATTCCGACGGAATGGAGTTTTTTTAAAGTGTTTTCTTAACAGCTTTGTTCACAAAGCTTTCAAATCGCATAAAAATGTTATCACAAAAAGACGACAACAATATTGAATGACGTTAATTTGGCGAATCTCTATCCGACAAAATGAAATAACAAAAAAAAAATTCGCTGGCAATGACAAATAATTGCAATATAAAAAAAAACAAGTGCACGCACACTGAATGCGATATCAAGTTGTCAGCTCCATTCAACGTTTGCACAGTTTGGCAATGTCAGTCAACGTCATACGATCGAATCGCAAACATATCCATCTCTCAACTCTCATTTTCGACATTCATTCCGTTACGATTATAGAAGCGCACGTCAAATATTATTTATCACACATTCACATATACAAAATTACATCAATTTGGTGGTGTTCGTTCTACCCTTCGACGATTAATTTATTTTTGTCGCGAAAAATGTCAATGAACATGCCTTAATATTAGATGAAAATGTCCTACAAAGCAATCAACGGGAGTATTTCATGCGTATTGCCTGCAATATAGAATTCACATGCACACTGATTATTGTCTAATGTCTGTAAATTCTATGGTGCAAAAAAAAATATGTGTAATGACTTTTACAGCGGGATCTGCATTCAAATGAATTCATTTAAAAAGTTTTCATAATATTATAATGAGCGATTAAGCTAATTTTATGCTAATTTATGTATATCTTTTATTCGGTGGTTTTGATTTCGACATTTTTTTCTTCGCTACTATAGTTACAATTGGTATCAGGCATACATTGAAAATGAAACTGCGTCACAATGTGACGAAATTCACGACTCAACAAAGATGTCTGCAAAGTTTACAAATGCACAGAGTACACCCCCGACAAAATTCATTTATCTGCGCCTAATCATCAATTTATGAACCTTTTTTCACATTCACACTCCGCATAAATTTTAAAAATAAAAGTTTACTCAAGCACAACTGAATTGGAGTTAAATGTCAAGGTTCAAACGCCAACATGATTGTGGCTGTGTTTCTGGCGTTTTGAAGCCTATGGATACATTTATTTTGGTTTGAACCGATATTGTACCAGGGAAAAAAAGGATATCGGATAAACGTGACCTTTTTCACCGAATGTTGTAAATAGTTAAAAGAAGTATGTAAAATGCATAGCAAAATGTATCTAAAGTTTCGATTTGGTAGTGTTGTATAAATGAACTCAAAAAAGAACAGAAGAAGTATAGAGAGAATTAATTTTTGATTATTATATTGCCGGAAAAGTATAAATTGACAAGAATCTATGCAAATACTTTACGTAGAAAGTTTGAAAGAAATCGTGAATTTTATTTGTTTATCGGAATTTTGAGGCAATACAAATTGTCTATATGAAGTATTTGCATAGATTCTTGTTAGAGAACTTTTTCCTTGTCAAAGCGTGTAGCATTTATATCAACGCTCATATTACGTCAAAGAATTTGCTGCCATTGTTGCATTTGATCAAAACAAAGTCTCTTTCAATTCGAAATTGGTTTCTGTATTTTCTAGCGGAAAGACGTCATTAAAAAGCTAAATGTGGTGATGATGTTACGCGTCCATTAATTGTCCTAAATAAGAGAGACAACATTTTTAATTTCTGAAATTTATTAGAATTGGTTTTGTAATAACATCATTTGTCCTTTGAAAAAACAGAAAAAAAAAATTATAAAAAAAAATTATAAACACAGCAATTAATTTTATTCGCGGAGTTTTTTATTGAGATACAATTCTATATAATATGAGGTATATTTATTGAAAAGGTAGTCTTTATTTCGAATGCTATCTAACAAATGACATTATTGTCTAGTAATATTTTTTAAATTTACCAAAATTGTTATTTTTCAAAACTTACAATTAAATTACTATACCCTCGCAAACAGAGAATACAAAAAAACTCATGCACGAAACTTATGCACAAAAAAAATATATTTTTACTTAAGGTGCTAGTACCGGTTCGGTTTCAACAGTTGTTTGGCGGTAATTCTGACGATACATAATATTTTTAGTTGTGACAAAATTCAAAATTTCATTTCTATAAATTACACCACCAACTATTGCCAGTGAAATTACACATAAGATGGCAATAAGAGCAACATACCCACTTCCGCTTCGAGTTGGTTTGATTCCATATTTGCCTTTAGTGGGTCCAGCGTTAATTGACGTATGTGTTAAAGTTTCTGCATCAGATTCTTTGGAATTTTTACTATCGTCACCATCACCGTCTACTTGTTCACTCGAATCAACTAATTCAACTTTTATTTTTTTGCAGCGTATGCCGCCAACATTAACGTCTTCAGTTGAAAATGGATAGATGCGATCAATATCGATGTATAAATCTGGCCAAATAGTTTTATCGAGGAATTGGTGCAAGTACGAGCAGTTAAAGTTATTGTTTTGAATTCCCAACGTCAGCAAATTGGGAAAGAGTTGTTTCCGAAATCCGTATAAATCTTTAATACTATTGCCTTCAACATAGAACATTTTTAATTCGGGAAGACGTGGTAAAAACATATTGAAATCTAATTTTTTCAATTTCCCCGCCGATAAATCGAGCGATTGTAGTTTTTTTGTTTTCGAAAATGTTTTCACTCCAATTTTTTCCAAAGCAGTATGTGATAAATTTAAACGCAAAAGATTTGCATTATTGGTAAAAATTGTGTCGTTCATTTTTTTTATTGGATTCATTGCCAAATTGATGTCAGCCAAATTCGGAAATCGATCGAAAATGTTATCGCATAATTCACTGATTTGATTGTTTGACACATCTAACACCTGAAAATCGTTGAGATTCGTTGATGCAAGTTGATCTATACTTTTGATTTGATTGTTTGAAATGTATAAACCAGTGAGTTGAGGATTATTGACAAATGAATAATCCATTTGTGAAATGTTATTGTAAGACAGGTCTAAAATTTTGATTGATTTAATGCGGCTGAAGAGTCTTGTATCCAATTCGGTGATTCCGTTGTGCGATAAATTCAAAGAGCTAACCGTAAGTTCGGCAAAGGCGGCTGAATTTAATTTTGTCAATTTGTTTTGTGACAAATCCAATTTGCTTAACGCTGACAAATCGCTGAATGCCGATGCTTTTATGTCGGTCATTTTATTATTTCGAAGATACAAATTTTCCAATTGATTTAATGTAGAGAATATCTGATTGCCAATCATTAAAAGATTGTTGTTTGATAAATCAAGAGATACCATTTTAGTGTTATTGTAGAAGGCCAGTGGATTGATATTTTGGATTTGGTTGTACGAAAAGTCAACGGTTTTAATGTATTTGACACCATCTAAGACTCCTTCTACAAGTTCGGTTAGAAGATTGTGCGATACATTCAACGATCTCAATCTCATCCCATGAAGTCCAGAAAAGTCCACTCTAGCCAATGTCTTCAATCCAAGATCCGAAAGATCCAGTTTTTGGATGTACCGATAGTACTCCACGATGTCGAGGGGATGAAGTGCCGTAAATGTGCAGTTTTCAAATGACATTTCAAAAATGTCATCTTTTATATAACCGTCTCTGTTGTTTATACATGGCTTTCTTCTATGATTATAGTTGAAAAAACGATCGGTCACATAATTACGACCACAAAAAAATGTTAAACTCTCAGTGAATCCACCTTTCCAGATGCAATCTTGAATATAACTATACTTTTCTCCAAAAACTTCCGACTCACTCAAAAAAAATAATAACACGAACAAAAAACCAGCAAATTTTGACGATGCCATTGCTTATGACCAGTTTCTTAAGCAAACAAACGATTGACTAGCCTCATTACAGAGAAAATTTTATTTATAATGTCAAATTTATCAGAAAAAATATT